GGGAGGCCCACGCTGGTCACTGTGTGTATGGGGGCACCCACTGGTCAGTGGGGGGCTCCCACTCGGGGCAGTGTGAGGGTCCCACTCAGGGCAGTGAGCGGGTGCAGTGTGGATCCCCCCACGCTCGCTGTGGGGCGAGCGTTCGTGTGTGTCGAGGGGGTCAGCGCGTGCGTGCGGCGTGGATCTGGCCCCCGCGCCAGGCGTGGGGTGAGTGGGTGTGGGGTCAGGGTGGGTGCGCGGCCTGGATCCAGCCCCGGCGCGGGCAGCGGGGCAGGCAGGGCTGCCTGCCCACGGGGGTGCCCGTCCCCAGCCGGTGCCGGGGTTCAACCCGGCGCGAGCGTGACACACGGCGCCTGCGCCACCGGCAGCTGCCTGCCTCTGCCTGCGTGGACCCACGCCCCGACGTGCCCATGCAGGTGTGCGGCTGCCGGACACCCTCGTCCGCCGCCGGTACGCGTGGTTCTGCCGGCACGCAGGGTGCCAAACCCGGGGAGGGACGGGGCTGCTGGGTGCAACGCTGGCCCCGGCACTGCTGTGGATGGCCACCAGCCCGAGGGACACCCGAATTCAGCCCCGGCCCCCGAAGTGCAGGGCCTGCGGCGGAACCAGACCACGAGGCATCTCTTCATTCCGAATATTTCGGCGTATTTCGGCGCGGCCTCCTGGCTGGGCAGGAGGCCTCCCCCCTCCACCCTTTCCTCCCCTTTCCCAGCCCTTCGGAAGCAGATGGAGTGAATTCCTCGGGGTGTGGGCTGGTTTGACATTCCTCAGTGCGAGCCTGTGCCCAAACTTGCAGAAAATAGTTGCTTTTTTTTTTTTTTTTTCCCCTTTTGCTCCCCCTCCCCTTTTTCGTCAGGAGCTTGGCCCTCCCGCCGCACGCCTGTGCAGCCAGGCCTGTGCCGGGGTCCTGGAGAGGCTGTGGCCTTTGTACCACCGACCGTGCGGCTGTTGCGGAGCATGTGTGTGTGTGTATGTGTGCAATCCCGCACTCGCCGTGCTCGCCTCCCCAGCGTGGGCCTGTGCGTGGGGGCTGCGGCGCGTAGTGTGGGGGCGTGCGGGCTGGAAAGTGTTGAAGGAGGCTTGGTTTTGGGGGGGGTGCGTGGGTTCAGCGCGAGCGTGGGGGCTGTGAGCGGCGGGTGTGTGCTGCGTGTGTGTGTTGGAGCGGGGGACGGTGCGCCCCGCGGCTCAGGGGGGGTGCGGTGCGTGTGTTTGCCGGCGCGTGTGTGTAGGGGAGGTGCGTGTTTGTCCCCAGCCGTGGGTCACGCGTGTCTGGGGGGTGCCTGTTGCAGAGCCCTCACTGCTGCCTGCCCTGCCCGCAGGCCACCGCTGCTGCCCGCAGACGGACGGATGGCGGCCCCGACCAGCGCCCCGGCCCGCGGTGGACTGCCGGCGGCAGCCGTGCCAAGGGCCGGCTGAGGACGGGGCCTCTCCGGGCTGTCGTTGTTCCCGGCTTCTCTCCGATTTGGATCCTCCCTCGCTCCGGGTGCGGCTGCCTTTCGCCTCGCTGCCGTCATGAACGGGCTGTCGATCAGCCAACTCTGCTGCCTCTTCTGCTGCCCTCCCTGCCCCAGCCGCATCGCCGCCAAACTGGCCTTCCTGCCCCCGGAGCCCACCTACGCCGTGGTTCCCGAGCCAGAGCCTGTGGGCAGCACCAGCACCGGCTCCCTGCGCGGCGGCACTGCCGGGCGGTGGAAGCTGCACTTGAAGGACCGGGCGGATTTCCAGTATTCCCAGCGGGAGCTGGACAACATCGAGGTGTTCGTCACCAAAAGCAGCCGAGGGAACCGCGTCGGCTGCATGTACGTCCGCTGCGTGCCAGGTGCCAGGTGAGTCTCCCGTGGACGTGCCGGCCCGGTGCTGCCGCCGGTGATTCGACCCCAGCCTGCTCAACATGGGGCTGGTGCGGTGCTGGTGGGCACGGTGCCATCCTGCCCCCTCCTCTCCTTCAGCTGAATGCCACCTCCTTGACCCGGCCTCACCTGGCGCCTTGCTGAAGGAGCTGGCCCTGCCACAGGGGTTTGGAGGCGTCCTGCAGGGCGCTGAGCTCAGCTCCCAGGACCGGTCTGGCTTGTGCCTGCAACTGGGAATGGGGTTAAACACGGAGCGGAGGCAAAGCTGGAGGCTATAGGGATCCCCCTTGATGTCACGCCGGTGACGTAACGCTCCAGTTGTGAGCCAAGCGTCTGTGCAAGGCTCTTGGTGAGCGCCGGGGGGGTCTGCGCCGGCCACTTGCCCTCTGTCCCCAGCCCCGCGGTGACCACAGGGTGGGCAAGAGCCTGTGCCAGCCAGGAGGTGCCTGCAGTGAACCAGGTCTGCGCATTCAGTCTAATTCACTGGCGCATTTGATTCCTGAAGGAGAAGAGCGATAGGAGCGAAAGCCAGCAGGGCTTTAGGCCCAACCTGCTACTGGTCACTCCCATGAGTCTGTAAACTGGGAAGCTGGAGAAGGGCAGGCAGTGGCCAGGCACGAGGGGATGGCGCAGGGATGGGAGGTGACTCCCCGATGCGGTGGCATGGCGTGGGCGTTCAGGTGCAGAGGGAAGTCAGGTCCCAAAGCCTGCAGTACCCTGGCTGACCCCACACACTGGTATCCTCCTGGGAGCAATGTGCCCTCCGAGGAAGGGCATCCGCAGAGATCTCTGTGTGGGGGAACGCAGCCAGGATCTGCCCTCGGCCTGCCAAGGGCTTCGAACCCACCGGGTGGGCTTGGGGCGAGGGGGGATGGCTCTCGCAGGGGTTGGAGAGCTGCGTTACGGGAGGCCTCCGCAGGCTGCCCGGTGGGGACGTCCGCTCCGTCCCTGTGTGCGTCGCAGGTCCCCGGAGAGAGGAAACCGTCGGTGGGATTGCTCTGCCTGCATCCGCCTGCCCGTGCCCAGCCGCGGTGAGGCTCGGCACTGGCCCTGCTCCCAGCCAGCCGGCGGGAGCGACCGTTTAGCACAGACTGCGCGGCTGGAGGGAAGGGCCCGGGCTGGGCAGGGATCCGGCCCTCCTAAACCTTGCGGGGCATCAGGTCTTGCTTGACGTCTGTCCTCCCCGCAGCTCGTCATGCCATCACCTTCCTGCTGGGGCTTTCTGGGGTGTCCAGGCTGGGACATGGAGGCTCAACCTGGCCACAGACCTCTTGGCCCAACTGCGGGGGCTCAGCAGGGAGCGGGTCCTGCTCCCTCCCTCTGGCAGAAGAGAGCCAAGCTTCCATTGATGCGCTATTAGTGTTAATTTTTATGATTAACATTGTTTTTCCCCTTATGGTGGAAATTTCTTGTGCCTTGTCACTCCCACAATTCACTTCTCTTCCAGCATCTGGTGTCTTGCCAGGCTCAGGGGAGAAAAAAATCCACTGTCAGAATTCTTACTTGAAATCCCCATTGGGCAAACGGCCCCAAATCCTGAGCTTTTTACCAAAAATAGACTCAAAAACTTGAAGAGAATCATCCTTCCTTCAGGCTGCCCGTTTCTGCTGGGAGCAAGCCCCTGGCCCTGGGCGGCGAGGAGGGTCTGGGTATCTCTGGGGTTGGACCAGGGGTGTTGCGAGGACCTTCCTTGGTGGCCGGAGGGGTGTTGGCTCTTTGTGTCCTGCGGTTTGGCTTTTGGCCTTCGAAGCAGACGTCCTGGCTGGGCAGCGCAGTGGCATCGCGGCAGAGTCCCCAGTTAACCTGCCATGCCCGTCTCTCCCCGGTGCTGCAGGTACACGGTGCTCTTCTCGCACGGCAACGCCGTGGACTTGGGGCAGATGAGCAGCTTCTACATCGGGCTGGGCACCCGCATCAACTGCAACATCTTCTCCTACGACTACTCGGGCTACGGCGTGAGCACGGGCAAGCCCTCGGAGAGGAACCTCTACTCCGACATCGATGCTGCATGGCAGGCGCTGCGGACGCGGTGAGCGGGGCGCCGGGCAGGGGGAAGGGAGGACATCCAGGAAAAACCCTGCGGGCCGGCAGTCTGGAAAACAGGAAATCTCCCAGAGAGGGAACCCGGGCCACTCGTAACGGGAAGGGGTGGCTGGAAAGCAGCTGCAGGGGGAGCGGGCCAGGGGACCCGGAGGGGCAGGGATGCTGGGGGGGTGCGACCTTGCTTGGGGGTGCTGGCGCAAGCTGTGCTCCCCGTCTGGCTGTTCCCAGGCTCTCCCCTGGCTGTGCTCAGCCCCGGTTCCCCAGCCGGGCTGAAGGTGCAGCCCCGTGATGGGCTCTGCCTGCTCTGCCCTGCCTGCAGCCGGGCCTGGCTCGCAGCGTGCCCCAGGAACTGGGGGCTGCCCCGTGTGGCTGCGGCCTGGGGTCCGCGAACCCGCCCGTAACCCTGCTCCTGGCACCCTCCACAGCTCCTCTGGCAGCTCAGCCCTGGCTGCTCCCTGGTCCTGCCGGGGGTGCAGGGCAGCTGCTTTGGGCCCAGCTGTGAGCAGCTGGGGCAGGGCGGAGGGGGACAGAGCCCCGTTGGCCCCCATCCCACCCTGGGAAGCCTTGCAGGGTGCTGTGGGCAGAGCAGGGTCTCTCTGCCCTGAGCTCTGTCTCCTGGCGATGTGACTCTGCTGCCTGGTGGTCGGGCACTGACCTGCCCTCTCCTCTCCCAGGTATGGAATCAGCCCGGAGAACATTATTTTATACGGACAAAGCATCGGCACAGTGCCCACGGTTGATCTGGCCTCCCGCTATGAGTGCGCTGCCATTGTGCTCCACTCCCCACTCACCTCTGGCATGAGAGTCGCCTTCCCCGAGACCAAGAAGACCTACTGGTTCGATGCCTTCCCCAAGTGAGTGGCCTGAGGAGAGGGGACAGGGGACAGGGGTCAGCTCTGGAGGGGCAGTGCCCAGACCAGCTCTGTCCGGGATGCCAGCCCTGGCCACGAAGAGGGGTTATGGTGAAAACCGTGGACCTGTTTCCCACAATAGGCTTAAACGCGCCCATCGCGATCCTCCTGCCTTGCTTTCGGTCCCCTGCAGGGATCGTAACCCTCTGTGGGGTCACCGTGCACCCCACGTACCCCGGTGGCATCACCTCCTGGCCATCCTGTCCCTGTGTCTTTGCCCAACAGCTCTGGGGCTGTCCCACCACCCCCTTGTTGGGTATCACGAGCCCTGGGGGTCCCTGGGACCCCTCTCTCCCCCAAGGGTAACTTCTTGGGCTTTTTTTCCCCCCTCGGCAGGGGCAGCGGCACGGAAAGGCAGCGCTGAGGTGGGATGAGCTCTTGAGCCTCTCCCTTGCAGCCAGGCCGGCGGGGCCCGAGGGATGGTCCCTGAGTCGGAAGCTGTGGCTGGGAGCCACCAGCCCACGCTCTGCATCCCGATGGCCTTGCGTGGCCTTTGGGGCCGGGCTGAGAACAGCTGCGCTCCTGCTCCTGAAAGCCCAGCACGGCTGATCCCGACACGGGGAGGGCCCAGGCTCACGCTGTCCTGCAGCGGTTTCCGTCAGCCCTGCCTAGGTCCCAGGGGGCTGTTGTCACCGCTGTCTGGTCCTTGTCTGTCACGCCGGGGGAGATCTTGTCCTCAGCCTTGGCAGAAGCTCCGTGTCTCCGTGCTCTGCCGTGATCAAAGAGCATTTCCTGGTCCCTTTTCCCAAGGGATGTGTTTTGGGGGGCAGGAGGAATGGGAGCGCCTCGATCCCTGTACTTACCCCCCTCTCTCATCTCTTCCCCGCCCACCTTCTTGGCAGCATCGAGAAGATCTCCAAAATCACCTCTCCCGTCCTCATCATCCACGGCACGGAGGACGAAGTCATCGACTTCTCCCACGGCCTGGCGCTCTTTGAACGCTGCCCCAAGGCTGTGGAGCCGCTGTGGGTGGATGGGGCCGGGCACAATGACATTGAACTCTACAGCCAGTACCTCGAGCGCCTTCGGAAATTCATCTCCCAGGAGCTGGCCAGCCAACGCAACTAGCCGCGGGGTGGGGCGACGGGCAGGGGGTTTCTGCCTGTTCCTCCAGTTCTCCCAGTGTCCCTCCCCAGTCCCTGCTGCTGGAGGTGCAATGAGTTTGTACAGCCTCAGCTCCAGGCTCAGGAGAGGGCAGGAGGCCCTGGAGCAGACGGTGCGTTGCCTCCTGGACACGAGCACAACTCTCCTCCCTCCCGGTGTCAGCCCCGGCGCTGCTGGCACCACCGGCCGGGTTGGCAAGAGACGGCAGCTCCCTCCTTCCCCCTTCCCCAGAAAGATGAGAGCCCACCCTCTTGATGGTGTATCTTTGGCTTCGGACATGTCCCCGTCCCCGCTCCTAAAACAGCGAACTCCTGAATTCCTCCTGGCTGCTCTGCTGCTCTGACTATAGCAATAAGGCGAGTTGGAGAGGGGCTGGGGGCCCAGCCCCTTCCCCGGCGTCGCTGCGGGGCGGAACGGAGGAGGTGGCAGTTCCTGCTCTCAACGGAGCTTTCCTGGGAGCTTTCCCGGGATCGGCGCTGGTGGCGGTGGAGTTTGGGGATGCGTGGAGGAGGTGCCCCCCTGCCCCACGCCCCCTCCAGTTCTGGCCCTGCTCTGCCTTCTCGGAGCGCTCCTCGTGTTCAGGTCACCCCTGGAAAACCTCCTCCGTACCGCTCACTCACGGCGCGCTCGGGGAGACGGGGCGAGGAAACCAGGCACCGAATAAAGAGCAGAGGTTTAACGTTTTACCCGTGTGTGCCCTTTCCCTGGGTACGCCTGGGGCTGCCTCCCTGTGACCCAGTGGGGGGGATCAGTCCCTGGGGGGTCCAGCCCCTCGGCTTTCCCTGCTGGCCGATGCCTCTGCTGCATTGTACTGGGCCGGATCCCCAGCGCTTGTCACCCTCCTTGGGGACCGGGCAGCCCCAAGGTGCCAGCAGATGGGGATGGAGCCGTTGGCCCCCCCCAGGACCGGGCGGCAAAGGTCTGGCTCTTCGAATCAGGCCGTGGGGACAACGGGGGCACGTTCCCCCGCCAGCCCCTGCCCTGTTTCCTTAGGGGATCCCTTGGGATCGTGGGGGCGGAGGTGGAGGATGGCCTCAGCCTCCTGGGAGCTGTGGCATGGGGGGCTCGGGTGCACCGCGGGGGAGGGGACCGTCCCCACAGCCTGCCAGTGTACCAGGGCCAGTGTGGCGAGGGACGCAGCGTGGTCCTGGGTGACCCTGGCGGGGAGCAGATCTTACTTTTGACCTGCTCCGTGCCCCCAGCCACACGGGGACCTCTGCCATTCCTGGTGCGCGCTGGCCACGGAGGTGGGCGCGTGGGGCGTCCCGCTGTGCCCTCCCACCAGCGGACGGGGTGTTTCACCCCACAGAAAGGCAGAGTGCTCGGGTTTGTGCTTTTTGGGTCAGAAAATTTGGGGGTTGTGCTTTTTTGCTCTGGAATCACCCCGGGAAGAGCTGTTCAAAGTGTCCGTGTGTTTTCCTGCCCCTGGGGCATCCCTTGCCCCAACCCAAACAGCAAAGCACCGCTCTGCCCCACACAGGGACCCTCGGTGGGCTCCCAGGCTCCGGTTCCCCTGTCCCTGTTCCCCTCGTGTCCCCTCCTCCCCGCTGCGAGGCCGTGGGGCCCGGCGGGCTCATGTGAGGAGCGATAATCTCCTTAGGCGGCTCTCGGAGGGGCTCAGGGGCCTTGCGGTGGGGCCGCAGCCCCGTGCTCGGAGCACTCAAATGCGCCTATTGTTTGGGGCTGGGAGCCGTGGGGCAGCCGAGGCGGGGGGCACGGGACCCCCTGCTGCCCCGGAGCAAGGCAGGGTGCTCCAGTGGAGGAGGGGGGTCCCTTCCTTGGCGCTGGGGCTCTGCAGGAGCTAGAAGAGGATTTGGATGTTGGGGCTTTGGGTGGTCTGCCCCCTTTTCCAGGGGGGTTTTGGGGTCCGGGAGCCGGGATGTCTGGCTTCGCTGCACGCAGCTGCTGGGTGATTTTAGAGCCTTTAGCTCACACGTGTGCTGGAAGCCGAAGCCACCGCGGTCGCCCAGCCCGGCTCGCCTCCGGCCCCGGCCCCGATTAGCAGGGCTGGAGCAGCCCAGGGCGCCCTAATCCTGACACAGAGACGTTTTGTTTGCACCAAGGGTATTTTTATCCTCTTATTGCTGCCTGCTTCCTGTTGAGCTGCGGATGCTTTAGAGCGGCTCTGCATTGTCTCAGAGCCGGCAGTTGGGTTTGGGGGATGTCAGGGTGGCTTAAGTTTGTATTTACTGTGTCTCAGTTTAAAAAAAAAAAGGGCAAAAGGACAGAAAAGTTCAGCCTGATCCCCAAAATTTAGACCCAGCTTGGGTATATGGGGTCCCGCTGAGCTGGACATCGCTCCACGATGGGGAGCCGCGGCTGTGATCCATCCTTGGTAGGGATCGGGGCTTTTTGGGTCTGGATCCTTCACTGCTCCTGGCCCGAGAGGGCTCAGGCTCCGTCCTCGCCCGGGCACGAGCAGCTGGAGCGAGGAGGCCAGACCTGTCCTGGGCACAGCGTCCCCCACCAGTGGGGCCAAACTGGGCCATGAGCCACCGGGACGGCACTTCTGTCCCCACTGCTGGTGCTGCGGTTTGGGAGCACCAGGAGGGGACGGGGAAGGAAAGGGGCTGGGTTGGGGCTGGACCTGGACGGGGTTTGGTGCCTGGAGGGGGCTCTGCCCAAAGCGTGGTCTCAGCAGGGCGTGGAAGAGGGGAAAGGCAGAGTCAGGCCTCAGCGTGTCCCCAAAGTCCCTCCCGCAGCCACAGCAGAGAGGGGACAGGGCAGGCATCGCCCCAGGTGGTTTTGAAGTCCCCAGCCAGAAGAACCGGGGCACAGGCGGCTCCTGCTGCCATTGCCGCAGTCACAGGCACGTGGCTGGGCTGCGTGGGCCTGTGCGTAATGGCTGTGAATGGGGACGAGGTCCTGGACGTCTCGAGGATCCCGCGGCGGAAAGGACGGGATACCTGCTGCGGTGAGCCCTCGGCAGAGGCGCGAGGCCGATGCGGACGGGGCTGTGACCGAGGCTGGGCCTGGGGGACATCGGGCTCACCGGGTGACCGGCCAAGAGGGGTTTAAGTTTCTTTTGGGGCATAAATGAGGCTTTTGATGGCCGGGGCCTGCGTGCCACAGTCATGAGACCAGTTCACAGGCCGAGCTCAGTCATGGGATCCAGGAAACTGAATTAAAGCGTCTTAAGGAGCTTTTTTCCGAGCTCTGCTCTGGTTTTTCACGTGCTTGTCATATGAACAAAGACGGTATAAAAGGGCAGAGGGGAAGGATCCCATCTGTGGTCGGGCTGGGGAGAGGGGAGGGCGCCGGAGGAGGGATGCCAGGGTGAGGGGCTCTGCGTGGCGCTGGCTAAGATGGAAGGAAGGGAACAGGAAAGGACAAGGAGAGGAGAGGATGCGCTGGCAGCAGCCCCTGGCTCTGCCCTGCCAGGTGAGTGAGGCAGTGACCTGGGCGGGCAGGGGACAGCTGGGGACAGGGACGGCAGCAGGTCTGGGGGAGCAGAGCCCGTCTGCCCGTGCTCGCCTGGCAGCACGGGCGCTGTGAGCATCCCGGCGTGCCCACGGCTGCGCCCGGACACCATCCGGCACTTCCCTGGCGAGAGACGGTGAGCATGGCATCGTGTCACGGGGAGGAGGGAGCGCGGGTTGCAGCAGGGGCACCCACCACCCTGCGCTGACGGTTGGGGGGGACGGGGTGCCCAGCGGTCCCCAGGGTTCCCCTTTGCCGGGTTGGGTCCCCGGAAGGGTGCTGGGATGGACCCACCCAGCTCTGCACTGCGCACACGCACGCGCACACAGATGCGTGTGCCTGCAGACGCGCACACACGCATTCACACAGCCGTCTGAGCGCACAGTGGCCTGCACACGCGCACGCCTGCGCAGGCTTGCACACGCATTCACATCCACACGCATGCGCATGCGTGCACAGACGTCCGCGCACACACGTGGATGTGCACACCCCCGCGTGGGCCCCCCCATGCTGCCCTGTCGCTGCCACACTCCTCACCCCCTCGGGTTTGCACACGCAAACCCACACGCACCTACATCCCCCCCCTGCAAAAGCCAGCGCTGCCCGAGCGCCCGCTCGCACCCTGCACGCCCGCCACGTCCCAGACTGTCCCCGGAGGGGGAGAAGCAGCAGCGGGGCCAGTGGGTCGCAGCGGGGAGATCCGTGGGCTGGTTTTCACCTCCCACCAATGCAGCGCAGGCTGGGGATCCCCCAGTTCCCCCCGGCTCCTGCCCCCTTCTCACATCTCTCCTCCGTCTGCAGGAGCGCTCGGCAGCCAGAGGATTGCGGGGCCGCGGCCCCCTGCCCCCTGTGAGCTTCCCTTTGTCATCCTATGCCTGAGCGATGCCTGGAGGCTGGGACGGTGAAGGGAGGCCCACGGGCTGCCACAGTCCTGCCGCGACGACGCCTGGACAGCACATGTGGGACCACACACCTGGTGCCTGAGTCCTGGGGGGAGCTGGGAGCACTTTTGGGGAGCTGAAGCGTCCCCTTTGGGGGCCAGAGCATCCCCTGGGGGGGCCAGGAGCACCCTGGGGGGCTGGGAACACTCTTGGGGGACCAGAGCATCCCCTGGGGGGGCCAGGAGGACCCCTGGAGAGCTGGAGCATCGTCCCCGGGCTGGCCGATACCCGGTGGGTTGGGGCTGGGCAGCATGGGACGCCATTGCCCCAGGATGTGGATGGGGTTTTGGGGTGTCCCGGAGCACCCCAGGTCATGGTTGGGCTGCAGGGGAGCGGGAGGCCGCAGCGGGGCCGGGGAGGAGTCTCCCATGGGAGACGTGGACCATGGCGGGATCCATGTGTGGCAGTACCGGGATGGGTACCAGGAGCACCGGGACGGGTATCACCCCGTGCACCGAACAGCCCAGCCCTGCGAAGAGACGCCCCCGTTCAGCAGCTCTGGGGAAGCCCCCGTTCTCCCACCACCCTGGTTCTTTCTCCAACTTCACAAACTCCTGGCTGGCGCCTCGTGCCGGGACAACAGAAAAGTTCCCGCATGGATGCAAAGAAAATCTGTAACCTCCACCGTGGGGAGCAGAAACTTGCCCCAGGAAGGCGCTTTTTTATGATGATGCAAAATAACAAGCAGGGAGCGGAGGTCTGCAAGGTGGGAGGCTTCTGCCACACAAGCATCTCCAGCTGGTTTCCTTTTTTTTTGTCTCTTTTCCCCCCAAAAACTGGACCCAATTCACCCAGCTTATCAT